ATTCACGAATTCTGTTGGTTGGTTAACTTCTTTATAATACCATCTTTTTCCATTCTTGCTATTCCTTTTTTAATGGATTTAATAAGCTAAGTGGAATTTTCTACAGGGTTCTATTTTACCAAAATCTCCTGGTTTTAATTTAATATGATATGTATCCAGTTAAATTCCCAGTTCCTTTAAACAAATCTTGATATCCTTTAAAAGTTCTGGTAACTTTTCATTAGAATCAGGATTTACTGTACAAATCCTTTGTATTAGGTTTAATTTTGCAATGTAGGTAAACCTAAATAGCTGGAACAGTTTTATCACAGCTACGACTGAAATTCTATTTCATCTTGTCCCCTTTTGATGTTTCACATAATAATTTACATTTTCCAACTACATCAATTGTAGTACCATTGTAATTATTTAAAGTGACTTTTGATTTAGTCAAACATTTTATCTTAAATTTAATTGTTTAAATTTAGGCAATGGTAGCACATTACACTGAGCTCCAGTATCCAACTTAACAAAATAAATATTTAGATATGTTTACTTTTAGTTTTTCAAACCATTCTGTTTTTTTTAGAAAATGGATTTGTATCTTCTACTGACCCCTAAAATATATTCATTACCATTATTATGTAACTAATGCTCTAAATTATTCTGTACAACATTAACATTTTTAAAAGTGCACATTTTAGAAAAGTGATTTTTTTTACAGTACAAGCAAATCTTATTATAAGCAGGGCAGTTGTATAACTTATGAAAAGTTCCACATTTTCTACATGGTTTTGGATTTTGTACTTATTTCCTTGATAGTTTGAAGAAGATTTAGTACTTTGTTGCTTTTGTTTTACATGAAGTCTTTCTTACAAGGCTGACTTTTTTCCTCTGAAGGTCGAAATTTATTATGTTTGATAGCTTCTATTTAATGTTCTTCAGTTAAAGTTTTCAGCTGAAGTTCTGCTAATTCAGAAGCTTTACACATTTTAATACATTTCTCCAATGTTAAACTGATCTTCCCTTAATAATCTATCTTTGAGATTTTATTTAAGAATTCCACTTTCTATTCTATCCCTTATTAAACTATCTTTTAATTCTGAAAATCCACAGTTGCTACTTAATTTCTTTAAATCAGTTAAGAAAGCATCAAACGATTCACCTACATGTTGTGTTCGACAGAAAATATATGTCTATCAACACTTTCGTTGCTTTCGGTATGCAAAAATTTTCGAAAGCTTCAATTACTTGTCAACTTCCTTCTTATCTTCTTCACTTAAATTAAAAGTATTAAATTTTCAAGTGCTTCTTCACCAATTATATGCAATAAAATAGCTACTTTAATTTCAGGTGATTTAGTAATACCACCAGACGCTAACATATAAATTTGGAATTTTTGTTTCCATTTTTTCCAATTTTCGCTTAAATTTCCTTCAAAACTTAGATTAGTTGATGGCTTTAATCCATCCATATTTAATTTAGGACTTTAAATAGTTTATATATACGTATTTTTAGCCACTTCCAATAAAAATAAACAACTCACTTACCAGCGATATAAGTTTCGATTTCACAGTAAACAACTTCCCATGATGTTTTTGTTTAGAACATCTTTACGGAGGCTGCATGGTTCTTCAAAAAAGGTTTTCTTTTTTAATCAACGACCGCCATGTGTTGTATTTTATATATGTTGGGTACCTGCTCAGTGATGATTACAAGATGTACACAAACATCGTTTATTCTACATTACTCATCTACTATACTATATTACAGTTATGGTTAAAGATAATAATAGATACAGTTACATATATAACAGTCGGGACTTTGGTGATTTTGGATTATTGATTTTTCCGGATTATAGATCATCAGTTTAAATCTCGTAAGATGGCATGCAGAAATTCTAAAATTAAAAATATGAAACCATAATTTATGAAATAAAGAACAATTATGATCTAAAGGGTATCAAAATTTACAAAAAAAAAAAAAAAAAGCTTCATATTTATTTGTTTACTTTATTAAACATTTCTTTCAATGTAAGTTGTTTAAGTTGTTTCGTTTTATGTGATAATACTTTTTTTTTAATTCTATAAACAGACATAATTTCTTGTTCAGTTACAAAGTTCCGCTGTTCAAGTCCCGTAATTGCTGTGCCGAGGATACTGACTAACTTGTCAATCGAAATTTTTTCGTTTTCACTAACCTCTCTGTCACATTCTTCATGTCTTTATCCATTTTTTGCAGCAATTCCACTTTTTGTTTGTTGGACATCGAAACATACTTTCGTTTTGTAGATCCTTTGGAAGTTCCAGCATCGGAAATTCTATTTGACATAATCGAAAGTTCAAGTTTACTTTTATAAAATTGCTCTTACAGTCTGCAAAAAATAATAAGCGGGATCCAATTTGAAGATTAAGGAGCAATGCAATCATTAACATTAACTGAAATAGATAATTAGATAATTTTAGCTTACACCGTCCGTTATACATTAAATGCACAGGCGAAAATGTATTCTGCACTTGCGCACACGCATATGTGCAGTAGTCAAGGTCTTATGCGCACGCGTAAAACGCCTGTGTGCATGTGCCAACGCGGCGCATGTGCAGAAAGTTTTTAGCTTTGAGGTCCGGATTGTAGATCATTCCGGATTATGTGTGTCCGAATTACCGACTTTTCACTGTAACTTTTGACTTAACTTGTAACCTTGTACATTATGTAAATAATTAAATATTTGTGTGGCCTAACTTAGTTAGTTTTATTTTGGAACCAGCACTATTATCTCTCGTAACTCATCACATTTTATATCAAACAAAAATATGGTCTGTTCGCGGAGTTGTTTTGTTTTTGTTAACTAAGTTCGTATTAGTATAGAATGGCCACTATAGTTACTTTAAATCGAAAGAAGGGCTCAGCTAACTAGAATAGAGACTGTCATAGCGGATAGTACCAGCACATGGACTAAAATCAAAATAGATGCCAAGCTCAAGGCCTTGGAAAAGATGTCTGTTGCTTTGGATGCACTTCGATCGGAATATTATATTGCTCTGCCTGAAAAGGATGATACTTCTGAATTAGAAGAGGAATTATATTTGCAGTGCAAATACTGCACAGAGATCTAGAAGCAAGAATCGACGATCTAGAGGTAAGTTTCAATCAAATGTTAATTGATAATGTTGCTAATATTAATAAGGTTGATATCGCAAAGAGTAGTTGTAAAATAAAGTTACCTGAAATTCCACTTCCGCAATTTAGCGGAAAGTATGAAGAATGGAGCATGTTTAAAATTGAATTTAATAATATTGTTACCTCGAATACTCAATTAACAGATGCACAAAAGCTACATTATCTGCATGCCGCTCTTAAGGGAGAAGCAAAATTGTTGCAAACTCAGGAAGATACTTTTGAATCATTATTTAGGGCTTTAGAAAATCGCTTCGAAAACAAGAGAATTCTTGTTAATATTCACATTAAAGCTATTTTAGAATTTGAAAAAATTATTCATGAATCATCGAAAGAATTAAGGCGTCTAGTAGATGCTGTGAATAAAAACATTAGAGCTTTAAATAATTTGGGTTTCGAACGAAACAAATTCTCTGATATTTTAATTACTACTGTCATTTTTTAGACAAAATAGACAAGGAAACTCGAAAACAATTTGAATTATCGGTAAACGCTTCAGATGTTCCTAATTTCGATAACTTGATGACATTCTTAGAAAAAAAAAAGTCAAACTTTGGAAAATATCCAAAAAAAAAAAAAAAAAAAAAAAAAAAACATAAAATCAAAACAAACGAATGAAATAAAACCAAAAAACCTTCTTGTTCATTCAAATAATTCGGAAAGAAACTGCGTTATATGTAATTCGCCACATTCCCTTTTTAAATGTAGTAAATTCCTTGATATGAATTTTGGTGAAAGATTTACGCTAGTAAAACGAAATAACTTATGTCTGAAACTGTTTGGGAAAAAAGCACATTGCTTCGCAATGTCGATCGAATCATTTTTGCAATATTTGCCATTCAAAACATCATACATTGCTTCATAAGGATGAGTCATCGAATTCGGATTCTGTTTCAAATAAACATCCGCAGACGATAGAGCAGAAGACAGCTGGCGGGAAGGATATTTCTCCGGCGCCTAATGGGAAGGCGACGAGTCTTTCAAATTGTTTATTAGCTACGAATAAAAGTGTTATCTTGCCATCTGCGATTGTTATGATGAAATCTTCGAAAGGGACATTCATCAAAGGAAAGGCTCTTCTTGACAGCTGCTCACAGATTAACTGCGTGTCTGCTCATTTTGCAAAACAATTAGGGATTAAAAAAACAAAGGTTTTCGCTCCGATTTCAGGATTAAATGGAACTGATATTACTTTAAATTATAAATTGAGGACTTCAATTGCCAATAGGAAAAAACATTCTCTAGAGAACTTGATTTTTTTATTGTTCCCAAAATTACAGAAATGACTCCCCTTATTGAAAATATTGACATCCCCAGGGATATTTCCTTAGCTGATTACAGATTTAACACACCTGAGGAAATTGATTTATTACTGGGTGCAGAATGTTTCTTTGACTTATTAAAATCGGGTCAAGTTCGCAGCGCGACAAAAGACTTATTGTTCCAGGAAACGGTTTTTGGATTCGTAGTTAGTGGTATTGTGCATAATTCACCACTTGAATCACAATACTGTGGTCTGCTTACGCAAAATGAAAAAATTGAAGAAACATTGCAAAAATTCTGGGAGGTAGAAAATATTAATTTTCCGGATTCAGCACTTAGTCCTGAAGAGAAATATTGCGAAAAACATTTTAATGAAACTCATTATCGAACCTCGGAAGGTCAGTACGTCGTATGCATGCCCATGAAGGACTCTGAATTGTTGGGCGAGTCTAGATATTTAGCAGAGAAAAGACTTAATCAGGTTTGGGAACGATTGGGTCGGGACTCGAATTTACAACGATTGTATTCTGAATTCATGCAAGAATACAAGGATTTAAAGCATATGGAACTAGCTGAGGGATCTGAATCCATAAATGATTCGTACTACCTGCCTCACCATGGGGTTTACAGACCAGACAAAAGTAGTACACGTTTAAGAGTGGTTTTTAACGCCTCAACTGCCACGACATCGGGATTGTCATTAAACGATATTTTGTTGAAGGGAAGAATTCCACAGCAGGAATTATTTTCTATAATGGTTAGATTTAGAAAACATCGCTACGCCTTCACAGCAGATGTACAAAAAATGTATCGACAGATTCTAGTACATCCTCCACAAAGAGACTTGCTCAGAATTCTATGGAAAGACAGTGTTGATGCACCAGTGCAAACTTATAAGCTCAACACAGTAACGTATGGGACGTCAAACGCTCCCTATCTAGCAACTCGAGCTCTTAAACAGTTAGCTATAGATGAAAGCCAAAACTTACCTCTAGCATCGTCCGTCGCTCTTACTGACTTCTATGTCGACGACATACTTTCCGGAGAATCATCACTCGAAAAGGCTAGAATTCTACAATCCCAATTAATAGATTTGTTAAAATTAGGAAAAATGGAATTGCATAAATGGCGTGCAAATCATCCAGATCTGCTTGTGTCTGAAAATAAGGTTACCGCTCATTCAGAATACACTTTTGAAGAGCAACAAGAATCTTCGTCCGTAAAAACTCTTGGTGTCCTATGGAATCCTCAGACTGACTGTTTTTTTGTTTACAATGACCATTCCTCACTCTAACAGTTATAGTAAACGAGATGTTCTGTCACTAATTTCGAAAATGTTCGATCCACTTGGTTTAATTGGGCCAGTGGTCACAAAGGCCAAAATATTCATGCAAAGGCTCTGGCTTGCTAAACTCGATTGGAATGACACATTGCCAGATTCTATGGCCAAGGAGTGGATTAATTTCGTATCCACGCTCTCTGAACTAAGTAATCTTAAGATTCCTAGATTTGTATTCCAGGAAAATCACATAGTGCTCCATGGATTTGCAGATGCGTCATCTTCGGCATACGGAGCTGCAATCTATGTTCAAGCTTTGCCAGTTTCGGGATTGCCAACCGTTCGACTTTTGTGTAGCAAGTCACGAGTTGCACCTATAAAAACCTTATCAATTTCTAGATTAGAACTGTCAGGTTGCCTTCTATTATCCAGATTGATGGATAAAGTGATATCTTCGTTGAATGTTAAAGTAGAAAAAGTAATTCTTTGGTCTGATTTTACGATATCTCTTGCTTGGATTAGAAAATCACACCTTACTAAAAACTTTCGTGAGTAACAGAGTCGCTTTAATACAAGAGCTTACGAGGTCATACCAGTGGAAATATGTGCCATCTCAATGTAACTCAGCTGATGTCATATCGCGTGGACTGGATGCAAACGACATTCATACGTGTGATATCTGGTGGAATAGACCAGACCTTCTCCGTGAAGGCGTGCATTATCCGGAACAACCTCTTGCGCCTACGACTGATAATGGCTATGTCAAGGAACTGAAATGTTTATCAGACTCTAATTTTGCAATATTAGAAAATAATTCTAGTTTAACCTCTCTCTTAAATCGAACAAATAATTATATGAAATTAATCAAAATTTGTAGTTTTATTTTTAGGTTCTTCAGAATCATTAAGAATAAGGAAAGGGTTTCAGGGCCTATATCCTTAGAGGAACGGAAAGGGGAAAAGTTAACATTGATTCGGGAAGTGCAGAAAGGTGAGTTTTATTCTGATATTGAGTCACTTAAGAGGGATAGCCAAGTACCTCGTAGGAGCAAGCTTAAGTCGTTAAATCCATTCATCGATAATGATGGAATCTTACGCATCGGTAGCAAACTTGCGCAATCTCAGGTAAGTTATGATTGTAAATATCCAATCATTTTTCCAGCTAGACATAGGTTGACATATTTGATCATGTACTATTATCATCTAAAATATTTGCATCTTGGACCAGAAGCTCTATTAAGTACTGTTAGACAAAAGTTTTGGCCCATCAGTGGCAGGAATCTTGCTAGAAAAATAGTACATGAATGTGTACAGTGTTTCAAACACAGACCTGTACCAATAGATCAGATAATGGGTGATCTGCCTGCTGAACGAGTGTCAGTTGAATCAACCTTTAACAAATGTGGACTCGATTTTTGTGGTCCGTTTCTTATAAAGGCAAAAAATCAAAGAAAAGGAGTTTTTTAAAAAATGTATGTTGCAGTATTTGTGTGCCTTGCTACAAAAGCAATTCACTTAGAAATTGTCTCAGACTTATCTTCGGAAGCATTAATTGCTACCCTAAAGAGATTTTTCGCTAGAAAAGGAAAAAGCTCAACCATATTTAGCGATAACGCTACAAACTTTTGTGGAGCTCGAAATGAATTAAGCAAGCTGTTTAAATTAACCAAAGTACCAGAACAAGGATTATCCGACTATTTGTTGTCAGAGGAAATTGAGTGGAAATTTATACCTCCTAGAGCACCGCATTTTGGTGGGCTTTGGGAGGCGAGCATTAAATTGTTCAAAACGCATTTTAAAAAAAAATGGTTGGGAATTCAAAATTAACTATGGAAGAATTTTTAACTTTAGTAACACAAATAGAGGGAATATTAAACTCTAGACCAATTTCTCCTCTCTCTCTTCAGATGGAATGGATTTTAATGCGTTAACGCCTGGACATTTTTTAATTGGCCGTTCTATAACAGCCCCTGTAGAACCAGAAATTATAAATAAGTCTGACAACAGATTGTCTAGATGGGAAAGAGTCACCAAAATGACTCAAAAGATTTGGAAAAGGTGGCAACGGGATTATTTATCGCAACTTCATGAGCGAACGAAATGGCAGTTTAAAAAAGGTGACATTAAATCAGGAATTTGTAAATCAGGAACTATGGTGCTCGTGAAGGAAGACAATTTGCCTATTTGTCACTGGATTTTAGGTTGAGTTGAAGAAATTATACCCAGATTGGATAAAAGAGTTAGAGTAGTTAGTGTACGCACGGCAAAGGGGGTCTCTTTAAAAGGCCTGTCAGAGAATTAAATATTTTGCCCATACCAGACAACTATCAGATATGAAATTTCCATATTATGAATGGACATTATTACATTATTCTTTAGTGCAAGTATAATATATTTATGTGTGACATTTTTATTTCTTATTATATGCTACTGAATTTATTTGTAATTGAAATAATTTGTGTTAAATTGCATTTCATTGTGTATTTTATATGTATGTCTAAATTTGAATTTGATTGTAAAACTTTTATGGTATTATTGAAACTTGTTTCATTGAGGGCCAGAATGTTCGGTTTAATATAGCGCCCTCTAGGATCGGTGCCCTCTTGTGAGAGGAGCCAAATTTAGTTGAGTTGGTTTAAAGAAGGTACGCAGCGGACCTATGGTGCGTTCGTTCATTCCACTTTGTCTGTGCTAATGGAGCACTTAACTTGTAACCTTGTACATTATGTAAATAATTAAATATTTGTGTGGCCTAACTTAGTTTTATTTTGGAACCAGCGCCATTATCTCTCATAACTCATTGCATTTTATATCAAACATACGCACATGCATCCATCCATCCATTTATTTCTGAATCCAGACCCGATAACACAATTTACATTAGCAACTGCCCTTATAAATATTTTAGATGGCTGTAGTCGGATTTTGTAATATAATTTCGTATTCTGTAATTGTGCAATGAATTCCAAGAAAACATTGAGAGGATTTTGCGTTATGAAAAGTGTTAGCTGAATTAATAAGAGTTAGATTCATGACATTAACTGATTTTTGTAACTGATTTCATATTCACAGTTTTATAGACAGGACATTTTTTGTATATTTTTATGCATCCTTTTAATCATGACTAAAGTGTTCTAGAGCTCAGAAACAATATGTTAATAAAAAAGCAAATATGCATTGCAATATCAAAGTTTTAGTACTTCAAGGTGGAAAATAAAGAAGTTACAGAATTCTTAATCTCTAAAAAAAAAAAAAAAAAAAAAAGTGAAAGTTTCTTAAACAAAATTTTAGTGGGATGTGTTTGGTAACTTTAGATACGTGTTTGCACATAAGCATGTGTACAGACATTAAACAATTAAGGTAAAAGAAAGATAATACTAGGCAAATGTAAGATAAAATTATGCCCTTTATTTTAAGTGCTTCTATAGAAAATGTTATGAAATATACAACAAAAAGTAATAGATTGTTTTATAAACTAATTTTAACCCATTTACTACGCATTTGGAGTAGAATTCATTTGTTAGAATTCTTACATTTGGAGTAAACATTAAATGTTGAAAAAAATTATAGGAAAATTCAAAATATCTCATTGTCTAGATTTTTAGTTGTGAAGTGGTTTAAATCAGCATCCTTTAGACCCTGCTGGATTGACAAGTGAATTATTGCTCAGTTTGAATGTTGTATGATGAAGTCCTGAGAAGGTTAAAATAACCTTTTTGTTTAATTTTTAAATTACAAAAAATTCACCACTTGTGCATATAAATAATCACCACCACTTGTGGTATATAAAATAACAAGTTATAATTGAAATTTGAATTGTAACTTGGCTGGCAATTTGCCTTATTAACATTTTTAAGTTATTAATTTTTCATTTGCCTTTTTAACTAATTATAACTGGCTCAAATTTTTTAATGGCAGATGCATATTAGAAATCAATTTAGAGACAATTGCATGATTAACTTATTGCTGGTGTAAGGAGCTTATATCAGTCAAGTTTTGCAAAGAATAAGCATAGGTAATAGATAAACTGTAATAGAGTGGAATCATATTTAAGACAAATATGGGTAAATGAGATGGAGGCAAAAAACAGAAAAAATTAAAGTATTTTCCCATTATCCTCACTCCTAATAAAAAGTTACAAACTCATTGCTGACTCTGGAGAACATTTGCAAACTTATTGGTGACTAATATTTTAATCAAACTAATGCACAGAAGGTAGCAGTCATTTTCAAAATGGTGGCAAATTTAAATACTTTTCGGCAACAGCATGAGTTACCATGCAACTATTTTGATGACATACTGCTTAGTCTCATAAATAATTTCTCGTGATTTTTCAATGAGGCTGTGGATAATTAAAAAGTACCAAAATAACTGGTTCAGCATGCATTGTTGAGGCCAACAATCAAAATACATAATGATCACTCAAGAAGGCCAAATGATATTAGATAATATGCATGTACCAGTTTTCTTGTATTGGATTAGTATGAAATTTCATCATATATCTGTGCTACATAAATATGTATTTCTATGCTCGCTTTTAATAATTCTTTGAAGATAAGGAATATTTTAAGATAGTTGTTAGTTGCGAGAAATAAGATGTGCATTTCTGTTTTACTTCTTTATAAATCTTGCTTTACTTTCTTAAAATGTTAAAAAAAAAAAAAATAAATAAACTGAGTATCTGAAGTCTTTCTTCCAGTATGAAAATACGAACAAACGTTATTTTACATTATGATATATAACTAATATTTTACTTTAAAGCTACTGCAATTACAGTTTGGATCTTTAAATCTTAGCTAATGAAGTGTCTGATTTTGTTATTTGTTATATAAATTTAGGATTAACTCCCATAGTAGCTGCAGTTTGGAGTAGAAATTTATCCACAGTAAAACTATTGGTTGAAGCTGGGGCAATTATTGAGCATTCATCTAATACTGCTGAACAAAATGAATGTGACATGTCAGCTTTAATGGCTGCATCTCTGCTAGGATGTGATGCTATTATTAGGATTCTGTTAAAAAAAAGTACTAATGTCAACCAGATGTCTCCAGTCACTGGTAACTAAAATTTTTCATAGTGAATTAATGCATTGTTAACATAAGTTGCATTTTTGCATGTTTTGATGTTAGAAACCACAAAGAGAAATATAATACATAATAATATTCAACAGGATTCTTTTAACTGTTATCTTTATGTTTCATTGATATAAATTTTAAAATAGTTATTATATTTGGTAATCTTCTGTTAACAGAATCAAATTAAAAAATATATGTATATATGCATGTATGTTGTTCATGTATACATATGTATATGTGTGTGTACACTCACACATATATGCACATACATATATACATTTCTGAATACGGTTCCAAAAACAGAAGGGTGCTTTAGACAGTCAAAAGTCTTTAATCTGGACGTCCATAATCCGGAATGATATATAATCCGGACCTCAAAGCTACATTTCTGCGCATGCGTAGCGTTTATGCATGCCCATATACATTTACGCAGGCGCATACGCATGCACGTTTAATGTATAACGGACAGTATAAGCTAGGCTAAAATAATCTAATTATCTATTTCAGTTAATGTTGCAGATTGCGTTGTTCCTTAATCTTCTAATTGGATCCGGCTTATTATTTTTTGCAGACTGTTAGAGCAATTTTATAAAACTAAGCGTGAACTTTCGATTATGTCAAAAAGAATTTCCGATTCTGGACCTGCCAAAGGATCTACAAAGCATAGGTAATAAGCATGTTTCGATGTCCATCAAACAAAAAGTGGAATTGCTGCAAAAAATGGGTAAAGGCATATCCTTTGTTTCTCTAACCATTCTGAAACCTGCTTATCAATTTCACGCTGCTGTGCGGCGGGGGGAGACGTCGCGGCACGCAATGAACTGGAAGTTGATCTGTCAGCACTATCCTTATCTTCAGGGCAGATGCTTTTATTTTATTCGGCTTATAATTCCTTACTAAATCTAGTATTTTATCTCGATGTACTCCGTCTTTGATATGATTTAAATCAAATTCCTCGTCATTATAAATATCACGAATACACATCAAATAGTTTTCTGGTTGCAATTTTCTAATTTCGACTATGCGTAATGTTCGCTTTACGCATGCGCGCGTTGAAAGAAATGTTTAATAAAGTAAACAAATAAATATTAAGCTTTTTTTTTTTTGTAAATTTTGATACTCTTTAGATCATAATTTCTCTTTATTTCATAAATTACGGTTTCATATTATAATTCCTGCATACCATCTTACCAGATTTAAACTGATTATCTATAATCTGAAAAAACCGATAATCCGGAAGTGCCAAAGTGCCGACGAGTCCGGATTAAAGACTTTTGACTGTATTCCTGTTTTAATCTGATGATACAGCTAAGCAAAAGATTTTTTTTTTACATTTATATCTTTTTATGTAGTGATAATTTTAAAGAGCATTAAATTTTTCTTTAAATCTGCCTGATAACTGATTTATATACATATACAGTACAAAGTCCATAATCCGTACTCATCGGGACTTCAGCGAATCCGTATTAGGGGGTTTTCCGGATTATAGATCATCAATTTAAATCTGATAAGATGGCATGCAGAAATTATATAATTAAAAATATAAAACTGTAATTTATAAAATAAAGAGCAATTATGATCTAAAGGGTATCAAAATTTACAAAAAAAAAAGCTTAATATTTATTTGTTTACTTTAGCAAACATTTCTTTCAATGTAAGTTGTTTAAGTTTCTTCGTTTTTTGTGCTAATACTTTCTCTTTAATTCTATAAACAGACATAATTTCTTGTTCAGTTACAAAGTTGCACTGTTCAAGTCCTGTAATTGCTGTGTCGAGAATACCGACTAACTTGTCCGTCGAAATTTTTTTGTTTTCAATAACATTCTCTGTTACTTTCTTCACTATCGGAAGCACGCATGGGTAAACGCTTTACTGGCTTTACGCACGCATCAAACGCGCATGCGTAAGTTTGTGGTTTTGAGGTCCAGATTATAGATCATTTCGGATAATTGACGTCCAGTTTATGGACTTTGTACTATATAAAATTAAAGCATCTAAAGTTAAAAATAAATTGGAGTCAAAGCAAGGCAATTCCTCAACAATATTAATAATTGCATCCTTGTAAAGGGGGTTAAACACAAAATCTAAACATTCAAAATAAAAATGATCATAGTAGCACAAACTCAAAAACTAAAACTGGAAAGAGGGAAAATACATACAAGATAATAAAAATATAAAAATTAATCTCTCTTTATTGAAACTTCAATTCAAAACTAATCAGGGGAAAATGAATTAAAGTTTCATAAAAGTTGATTAATATGCTTCGAAAACATGTTTCGTTCTCCCGGTAAACTTGAGATCAAAAACCGAAAAAAGAAACAAATTTACATTACATTAAAACTCAGATGTACAGGGATTTTCCCTACATGCCTTCGAAACTCTTGGAAGAAAGAATAATACATAACATTGTTTCAAATTGATTAAAAAAAAAAAAAAAAAAAAATCTTTACATATTGTAAAATGGCCTTTTGACTAAATTGGTCTAAAAATATTAGATGAAATCCAAAATTCAAAATCAAATATAAAAATAGATCACAATACAAATATACTTTAAACCAAATAGTCATTTAAACAATACTCTGAAAGCTCTTTTTATGGTTTTTGATCTCAATTTACTGGGAGAATGAAATACATTTTTGAAGCATATTAATCAACTATTATGAATTCATTTTCCTCTGATGAGTTCTGAAATGGAGTTCAATAAAGGGAGATTAATTTTTATATTTTTATTATCTTGTATATACTTTCCCTCCTTTCATTTTTAGTTTCCAAGTTTGTACTACTCTGATCATTTCTATTTTGAATGTTTAGATTTTACGTTTAAAGGATGCAATTATTAATATTTTTGAGGAATTGCCTTGCTGTGACTCCAATTTGCTTTTAACCCTACAGCTATAGTGCAGGACAGCTTTAAAAAATTTGTTTTTATTTTTTGCCTCTTATTAAGTTTCTTTATATATATACGTATGTAATGTAAGTCCAAGAATATTTTCCGTGATTTCTTTTAAGTACATATTCATGTATCTTGCATTGTGTCCTAGCAATATTTTGTTGTATATTAAAACAAAAGAAAGTCCATGAATAAAGTATCAGGAACGTTTTAGAATTATCATCAGAAAAATACCTCTTTTCTCAGCATTTTTGAGAAATCTGGGGTTTTTAGAGTCAAACCCTTGGCAGGTTACAGAATAAATATCTTTACATTACTGGTCAAAATTCTCATGTTGGCTATTAAATTTTCTACTCTGTAATGGAGTTAGAAAAACAGTATTTATTTTAGAAATATACTGTAATAAAAGGATGGAGTGCCTAAAACTTCATGTAAAATTGGCATAAATGTAGCAAAGCAACAACCTTATGTTTGGCATAGACTTAGTCAAGAGCTCAAACTTGACTAATTTGAATTTGCCAACAGTGGAAGAAACTGGGGTAACATTCCTGCAGGGATATAGTACTTTGCTACAAAATTACTAAAGGAAATAATGATGAGATTTGTTTGGGAGATAGTTGGTTTGCCATGGTGAGTTTGTGTTCTTTGATTTTTTTAAATCAAAAACAGATCAATGTTTGCATGGGGAAAGTAGCACAAAATATTAGATGGGTTTTGCAAAAAATATGTTCTTTTTTTTAATGCATCATTAATCCTTATTTAATAATTAAAATTTGTATCTTAAATTGTTAAAGTATGTTTTATAATAAATATCAATAGTTTGTAAACGTTTTAGAAAAAGTCATGAAAATCTCCACTTATTTGGTGCAAGTGCCTAATAAGTAACTTTTACCTGTTGACCCGTAAATAGAGCCAAGGTAGTTGCTTTAATATGGAAGTACCAATAAATACCTGTGCAAGATTAACCATTATCACTTTTATTTGCAGTGGAATAAACTTTTAAATTTTTGTAGATGTATAAAACGCTAATATTGCAGATCAACAATTGTCAACCGGTGGTACACATACCATTGGTGGTATGCAAAGAAACAAAGTATTTTTAACTATTAAATTAAAAATATCTTATGAAGAAAAAGAACAATTGATAGAAATTTCCTGTTATCGAACTCTAACTGAAGATTTCAAAAATAACACACGTGCTAATTTTTGGCTGACCCCCCCCCCAAAAAAAAATTAAAGGCATTTCTAATAAGGTTTTTGAATTTTTATTGCCTTTTTTGCACAACCTATATTTGTATGAACAAGGATTTTCTTCAGTGTTATACCTGAAAAATAAACACCAAATAAAATTAAAAGTGGATCCTAATTTACGGTTAAAACTATGTGAAATAAGACCAGACATAAAGAAATTGATCTCTTAAACAGTCCCAAATTTTACACTAAATTTTAGAATTAAGGTATTATAACTTAAATTTTGCTAATTGAAATGGCAACTAATTTTTAATAATTTTTTTTTTTATATGTGCACATTTAATACAAATATCCAATAGGTTGTGCAAATGGCAAAATATATTTTCTTAATATTTCTGTTGAGAAATTGGAAAATAATCATTGTAAAATGCAGTGGTGGTACTAAAGTTTTTTAGTTTTTGTTTAGATGGTATGCATTAGTCAAAAGGTTGAGAACGGCTGCTGTCGATCATAGATTGTCATTCCTATAGGAAGTCAGCAATAGTGAGGCCTTTACTTCCATATGTCACATAGATGTTATAACTTGAAAAAGTTTGAAGTTTGAATGTTCGTGAAATCCAACTGCAGTGGATGAACATCTGTACAGGAGTGCTGAAAGCTCTAAAAGAGGCAAGAAGATTGAAGGTGTAGCTTCAGGAGGTGCCGCCATCTATCGTAGGAGAGAGTAATCACATAAAAATAATACAGTACAAAGTCTGTAATCCGGACGTCCATTATCCGGAATGATCTATAATCTGAACCTCAAAGCCACAAATTTATGCATGCGCTTAATGTGTTTGATGTGCATGTCCGTTACGCATGCGGGTAAAGCCAGTAAAGCGTTTACCCATGCTCACTTCCTATAGTGAAGAAAGTAACAGAGAACCTTATTGAAAACGAAAAAATTTCGATTGACAAGTTAGTCGGTATTCTCGACACAGCAATTACAGGACTTGAACATTGGAACTTTGTAACTGAACAGGAAATTACGAGTATGTCTGTTTATAGAATTAAAGAGAAAGTATTAGCACACACAAAAAAAGAAGCAATTTAAACAACTTACATTGATAAAAATGTTTACTAAAGTAAACAAATGAATATTAAGCTTTTTTTTTTTTTTTTTTTGTAAATTTTGATACCCTTTAGATCATAATTGCTCTTTATTTCATAAATTACAGTTTCATATTTTTAACTGTAAAATTTCTGCATGCCATTGTACCAGATTTAAATTGATGATCTATAATCCGGAATCGCCGAAGTCCCGACGAGTCCGGATTACAGACTTTGTACTGTATAAACAGTTCGAATTTGTGAATGAGCAATTGCATTTCTTGCAACAAGAGTAATAAATGACATTAGTAATATATGTGTACATAAGATCCATTCAGTAATAGTAAGTATATTTACATGTAAAGATATGTACAAAAATTTGTTAAGCAAAGTCCGTATCAGCTTTGTTAGTTAAGTGGAGTCAGTACCTGCTTAAACAGTCAAGTAGGTAATCTTGGTATTAACCAATACACAATCTTGTAATTGTTTAACATTAAACCATTATCTTTCAGTACTAGCAGTAAACTTAAAGAAAGTTTAGAAATGTACTAAGTCTCATTTGAGTTCACAATGAGTTATTTAAGTTCAGGTGAGTGAATATCTTAACTGCAGCCAGCATGATGCTTAGCTTGTCTTTGGATAGTTTAAATTCAAGATAAACTTGATAAATTTCTTGAAATCTTCAAAGTCATTCTCAGAGTTTTTTTAGTTCCTTTTTCTTTTCTGAATTCTTTGTAAATTTGTGATTAGCAGTATTACTTGTGGCTACCGAAGCATATGGTTTGTTGGCAATGGAGGCTTGTGATTGTCCATTAAAAGCTGAGGTTTTGAAATGACTATCTTTTTTATGTAGTTTGCATTCTTGTTGAGGCTAGCATTCAAAGGAGCATTTGTTTCTTTCTTAGAATTTCCATGTCAATTCGGGCAATCCTTATTACATGCAGTGTGTAAACTGTTATGGAGCACATACTGTGCTTGAATTTCATTTTTGTGCTTAACTGGCCAATCATAAGATTTGTGAATTTCTAAACATCACACGCATTGTGAAATGTTACGACACGCATTCTATATATGCCCATAACACTGGAAATTGAAGCATTGCCATGGGCCCAAATGATTTTTATAAGATTCAACTATTACACGCATATCAAGGATGGATTTACCTTGTATATTAATGTTTTAACTTCTGCAAAGAACACTGGTACATAAACAGTGACACCATCTCGCATTCTGTGTATCTGGCTGCATTTTAAAACAGTAAAATTCTATCATTCTAATTCTTCTTCAATTTCCTTTTGTGTGAAAACTACAGGAAGACCTTTTATTACTGCTCAAATTCATTTGTCTGAATTTAATAGGAAAGTGTGGAAAGGATTGCTTTCTTTTCTAATTTTGCCTGAACTTTATGAAAGGTATTCTACATTGTATAGTTTTATTTTAAGGTTTTTCACTTTCTAATTTTCCTTTTATTTTTTCAACACCTAGTTGATCTTTAAATTCTTTTCTTAATTGTCCCCAATTGCAGTTCGGTTGTGTAAAGACTATTGGTGGAATTTTTTCCACATAATTTCTTGACTTTTGAAAAATATTATTATAGGGAGCAACAGTGTTAGTATCATCATTTTTATTGTCTAAGCGTTCTTCTAGATTAAGTGCATTAAATGAATTGTTAATGGGATCATCATTCATTTGTGGTGCAGCAATATTATTTGTAGTGTGTCTTATTGGGATGGTCTTCCAAGGATTATCTTTACTGGTAGTAGGTAATTTCAGAAAATTATGCTATGCATAACTTTGCTATGCTTTTTTTATTTCTTGCTCATAAGGACTAAGAGTTATCCATGTCTTAGATGTTAATCCATCTTTGCTAGCCATGTTTTTCAATTCCTCAATTTTGTGTTTTAACTCTGAGATTTGAAAAAGTCTCCAAAGAGCCAACTGGGAAGTCTTCAGTAGATGTGTTAATCTCTATAATTAAGATAAAGTAGGACTACTTGTTCAAACTTTGCACTAAGGAAATCTAAATTGTGCAATGTATTGCCTGTACATAATCATGAGAGTCACTTATGCCGTGGAAGTTGCTATGCAGTCAAAGAATTCATTCATTCCAAAATTCAAGAAGAAGGGCATAAGAAACTTCTGACTTGTCTCTATGAGCTCAGTGTGATAATTTGAAAAGCTAATACTACTGGATGCATGAGGGTTTTAAATTGGTTAATTGTAGGTCACATGATCTATGAAGTAATATAGTAGAATTAATTGTGCTATGTACACTAGTAATCATAAATTAAGGAAAAATCACAAAAATTACGATTACTGAAAAAGTTACATGTAGAATTTAGTAAAACGTACCCACAATATACAACACATAGTAAGGTATCAAATAACATAAAAAGAAATTACCAGACAAATATGGTAGTATAGAAATTAGCACATGTATAAAATGAACAAATCAAAGGTGTCAGTTTGCTATAGGAAAAGTATCTTCAGTATGGAATATGATCGCCTCTAGAAGCAACACGGCACATGCAGCGATGTGTGATGCTTTCAATTATGCGGTCTATCAGTTCTATAGGAAGCGAGAGTCTTTGTTCTTGCAAAGCAGTTGCAAGCGTGACAAGGGTCTGAGGGGGCAGATTGAGAGCAGCTAGACGTCTCCATAAAGCATCTCAAACGTGCTCGACATGATTCAAGTCCGGGGATCGAGCTGGCCACTCCATGCGCATAATTGTTTCCTGTTGAAGATAATCATCTACAATGTGAGCCCTGTGTGGTCTTGCGTTGTTGTCCTGTAACAGGAAAGCATCGCCTATTCTCCTGGTATATGGGTGCACATAAACATCAAGGATGTCATCTCTATAAGTCTGAGCATTCACGGTTCCCCTTGGAAAGACATGGAGGTCTGTACGTCTACCCAAAGAGATGCCACTCCAAACGCAGACACTGCCCCTTCCGTATGCATCTCTTTCACGGATGTTTGACGGATGATAGTGGGTTCAAGGTTCTCTCCGTATAAAATAACGCCTACTATCACTTTCTAAACTAAACCTGGACTCTTCCTAAAGAGAACCACCCTCCATTGATCAGGCGTCCAGTGGACATGTTGTCGTGCCCACTGAAAACGGTTCCTCCTATAGAGTGATGTGAGCGGCACACAAATGGCTGGTCGTCTTGCATACAGACCACATTCGTAAAGCCTTCTACTCACAGTTGATGTTGACGTGAACCTTCCGGTGGCTGTAGCAAGGGAGGATCTAAGAAGAATCGGAGTAGTGGTTCTATTCCTGTGTGCGCATAATGTCAAATATCGGTCTTCGGCGCTCGTCGTAGCAGTTGGCCGTCCTTGGCTGAACCTCCTAGATGCCGAATCTGTGGTTTGAAATTGCCTCCAAAGTCTACGAACCACAGAAGGACTCACATTTAGCCATCTGGCCACTTCTGTTTGACTTTCTCCTGCCTCTAGTCTCCCAATGGCTCACCATCACAGTTTTTCAGGCAAATGATGCCTGGAGATCATTGTTACGAATAGGCTATCTTAAATTTCTGATGTCACTGTCACAGTGAAATATGTAGGCATGCCTCAAACATGGACTTTTATATGCTGCTCACAGATGACATATTCCGAAAGCAACGACACTAATTTGCATATTGCAGTTTTACTGAGCTACTCTTACTTGGCAACATATTCAAATTTTACACGGTTTGGATTATTTTTGAGGAAGTTATCGCTATTTTTGTGATTTTTCCTTAATTTATGATAACCAATGTATTTGTTATAAGAGTGTACTGTGATTACAAGAATTCTGATCTAAACAGAAGTTATTAACAGAAATATAATTATCAATATTTCTGTGATTATTTCAATATCTATACCTACCAAGTTAACAGATTAACTGTAGTTGTCCATATGATAAAGCAATTCACTATGGGGATATCTAACAGTGTTAGGGAAAAATTTTATAGCACTTGAAGTGCTGTTTGGATTCTGAAGCTACAGATATAACTAGAACCCATTGTTAAGCTAGAGTCTCAAAGTTTCATTTGGCCTAGATGAGAAAATTTTAATTCCAGGTAATTAGAAGTATATAATATAGTGAGATAAACTGAGATTCTAGCTCTTTGAAATAACAGCAAAATCTGATGCATGCCCAGGAATAACATATAAACCAACAAGTTTAGGAATGAGAAAACATGCTGTATAGAAATTGTGAAATTGGAAAAATATACTTATCAAATCATTTTTTATTATGTGAAGATTAAAATATGTTAATCATTGTTGATTTAGATTTTTGCTAGACAGATGTTTAGTAGTTCCATTTGCATTTTTCAGGAAGTCTCGCAAGTTAAAAAAAGTTAGTTAATGTTAAAAATACTTGCATAATACCATTCATGTTTTATACATGTATTTCTTTTCATATGAAACATTGTCCCTCATAAGTGACTAAGTCTATAAATCAATTTCATTATGAGTAAAATTTCAGGAAGACTCTTTCAGAGTGTTGCCAGAATGCTGGTTAAGTTAAGGAATATGTTTTGGTTTAATATATTTATCATAACTGCATGTTTTTCTTTAGGTTTGACCCCATTAATGCTTGCTGCTTATAATGGTCATAAGGAAACTGCTCAGATCATCATTGAATCAGGAGGTAATGCTAACAAAGTTGATATATGTGGAAGAACTGCTTTAGATATTGCTAGGGTTTGTAATAAGATTGAAGTCAAAGCATACTTGGAAAGGTTGATTCATATGAAACATGCAAAAGGTATTAATAACTATTTTCTAATTAATTAATAATTTCTTATTCGTGTAATTTAAAACAATGATTTATCTTTGCTCTTTAAAAAAAAGATTATAATATTTCTTGTAGCGGCTTTACGGCAATCTGATGGAACAGATCTCTTTCAGGCTGTGAAAAATGGTATGTTATTTAATTTTCTAATATCCAATAAATAATATATTTTGGTTTCTATTAATTAAAGGACTGGCTGGGGGGGAGCTGTAACAGTTGAACAAATATTTGATATGTTGGAATTTGTGGGAATGCAGTTTGATAAAAAATTTTGTTATAGCATAAATTGTAAGAATTCTCTAAAACATTTTTGTCAAATATTCCTAACGCTGTGAGAATGAACATGTTAAAAAAATATGTACATAAATGGATTGTGGACATTAAAAAATAATCAAAGTATCTAAAATGTCTCAGTATACTAACATAAGATTCGTGCAGCGTTTTATGTCAGTAATAATAGATACTTCATTGTTCTTTCAAGCCATTTGAATCTTTACAAGTCCTTTGGTGGGACTAAAAATAACAGTATTATAGAAAAAAAGAACTTTAATTTCTTAGTATTTCAAAATTCTACGTTGTAAAATTCGAAGAAAAAGGTCTCACTTACCTTTGTTCCTTCCTAAATTTCTTTCCCGGATTGAGTTACTGATTCATATTTTCTGAAATCTATTCAATAAAATTCTTCATCTTGAGAAAGAAGAAAAAAGTTTTAATTTCAAAGTTAAGATTTACAGAAACATTTAATCAAAAATACAGCTGAACGTCTAACATCTCCTTACAGTTCGAAATCTAATCCTACACTACTGAAAAAAAGGCAATGTGCAGCACCCTCTTATACTGGTGGTTCGCAACAAGTATACCTCTCAGATGCCTCTTGTTTGTATTGTATAATATGAACTGTGTGAAAAATTAATTTTTATGTAATTTTATTGCTTTGAAATAATTTCATGTAATGCAATAGCGACAAAAGCAACCCAAAAGAATTTTATTCTAAAATTTGAACTCGCTTTGAAAGTTTTAGGATTTTTTTCAACATAATTTTAAAATTAATGTATAAAATATGCAAGGTACTTTTATTTTGTGCTAGTGCATTGGGTTATATTGATTCTAAGAAGTTATTTAGTTTGTAGGGCAATTTATGTCATTTACTTGATTTACAGATAAATGAATATATTGTTTGTTCAATTTATCAGAACAATATGTGTTATTTACATAGGTGAAGGAATATTATATAATATATTCATATATTTTTCAATATAAGAATAGGAGTATTGTAATTCATTTAAGAAATTATTGCTCTTCATGTTATTTTATGAGTGTTCTTAGGACATGCTATTTTATAGCATTGCTAATTTTCAAGCAAGCAATTGTCACTACTATATATATGTAAAAAACTAAATTAATAAATATTTCTTTCTGCTATAATTTAGGTTAAAATAACACACCAAACAGCAATTATTTTAGAAGTCAAACAACAAGAATCAGCATTATATTTGCAAATTTTCCAGGACCTGTTTCGATCATTTAATTACCAAATCATCGGAATTAGTCCTGGAAAATTTGCAAATATAACTCTGATTTTTGTTTGACTTCTAAAATAGTGTCTTTCTCCTGTTTACAGTATCTGTAGTTTACACATCTTTACACAAAAGTAGAAAGTATATAGTTGATAAATATTTCTGGGCTTCAGAAATTATTTTGGTATACTATAGCTTTTGCTAATGAATGTAAAATTATTTTAATGTTATTTAATTTTTTCCCTTAAATTTAGGTAATGTCCTGGCAGTTAAATCAATTTTGTTAGAAAATCCAAATTCTATAAATGCTGTAGATCCACATGATGATACAACACCTCTAATGTTGGCTGCAGCATCAGGCCATCTTGATATCGTAAAAGAACTTATATCTAGTGGTGCAGATATAAATGCTCAAGATCCGACAAATGGTTGGACTGCATTAATGTTTTCAGTTTTTCGTAGGTGAGGACAAAAACATTAAATTAAATTGATATTTACTTATTATAATATAAAAGTTGCTTTATTTTTGTATAATTAGCCTTTTTTGCATGCATCAAAGTTACATTTTTGAAAAGTCAATTAGTCTGACCTCATTAACCATATCAGAGATAGTTTTAATAAGAACTATGCATTCAATCATGATCCATAGTATACACTGTGTTCTAGCATTATTTGGAAGTGAGTTATTAGCATTTGCGATGAATATGAATTATAGTCTCTCTTTGTAAGTCATATAAAATTTTCCCATATTTCCTATCTTTAATGACATTTAAACAAAAAATTTTGAAATGAAAGCATGATGAAATGATTTTTTTTACTTTCATTTAATTTGAAAACAGAGAGATATTAAAAATTCATATAATTGAAAAGCAGGCAGACACTCAAACATTTAGTATAATTTAAATGAATTTAAATATGTTGAAACTAAGATAAGAAATGCCTACTTGATTAGTGCAGTGGTTAATGATATTGGCTGCTGTTGGACATAGATTCAAAACCTGGAGAAGGCTTGGATGTTCGCAAATGTATGATGCAGCACTTAAAATATCGGTGAGCTGAAACTCCTTTTGAGAGGCTTGATGTTAGGAGAAGAGGGATGAGAAATCCATGGATCTATCCCCCAAAGTGTTTTTCATCAAAACTGGAACTGACATTCCCCTTTCTCAAAAGTGTAAAATTGGTCACTTCTCGTGGTGCATACTGGGCAACATTGTCAGTGATTGAGATAGCTAAATTACTATTTGTTTGGTTTTTTGGAGAAAGTAAAATAAGAAAGGTATTTGTAGATTTTACCAGCATCCAAAGAAAGTTCCGAGAAAAAAACTTTGTCAGATTTAGAGGGCCAAACACACACATACACACAAGACTTTTAAATAAGGAAATTTCAATTGGGGGGGGGGAGCTGTGCTCAAAAGTACAAATTCCTACTTAAAAAAAAAAGTTGAAATTTATTTTCAGGTAGCCATACTCTCAAGTAACAGCTTACCACTCTCAGGAATGTGATCTTTTAAACCAGTGTAAGAGTTACCAGTGAGAAGGCCTTTCTTTTGTTGCCAGTTTTTCATATTGCCTTTACATCTAGCTTCAGCAGTGGTAGATAACTTTTTAGTCACATAACTATTTTAAATGTAATAAGCATAACTATTGAATGTATGATTTAATCTCTTGTCTTAATTTTCCAGTGTAATAGCACTGAACAAAGAAGCCATAAAATAAGCTTTTTTTGTTAGTTCTTCAGTTTAATAACTGGGATATAACCTGTGTAAGAAGAGAAGTAGTCTGCACTACTTGTGGGATTAACAGAAATGATAAAGTCAAATTAGAATTTAAAATAGACTTGTAAGATAAAATAAAGCATGTTTATAAGTTTTGACTCAGACCCTCAGTTCACATGAATAAATAGAGCTAGCTAAGCTAAAGTCAAATTCAAGTAAATTCAGAAGTTGAGAAGAAGACAATGAATATCAAAATATTATGCATACCTACCTTGATAGATCTGCAGAAGGATTTGTTAGTGTTTTCTAATTTGTAGCAGACTCATTATGAATGATATTTTACTTTTAATTTATATATCTTTATATTCAGCTAATCATGGCATAAAGACTAATACCATTTCTAAAAGGCCCACCAGCGGCTGAGCGGTAAAGTTGCTGAACACTGGTAGTTCGGTCCGTGGTTCGAATCCTGCGAATGGGCTGGCTGCATGGGTGTTTTCGTGGTTTTCCCCATGTGTCACGTGTATATGAACCAGTTTCCCTAAGAAAGTCCTCCACGAAGGCATCCCTCCCCTTAGGCAGATAGTCCTAGTATGCTTTGCTATTATTAAATGAACCAACCATTTCTAAAATGTAAGGACTTTTAATTAAAAGCAAATGCAAAAATATAAAATTTACTTCCTTGTTTTATTATTTTTGATTTCACAATTTAAGTTTTAGTTAAAATAAGTACAAAATATAAATTGGTTTTCAGTTGATTATTATTATTATTTTGTTATTATTACCATCATCTCAGATATTTATTTTTTTCCTTTTAAGGCAATCTGATGTAGTTCATTTCTTAATAGAGAAAGGGGCTTCACTTGATATACATTCATCAAATGGCTGCAGTGTTCTTGATTTGGCATATCTCTCAGGTATGGTTCTGAGATTTTGGTTTTTTCTGGGCATTTCTGTTCTATTAAAGTGTGTTAAACACTGAACTGAGTAGAAAATTTTATAAGAATGGGTTAGTGAAACACAAACGGTATAATAAATCACAGTAATTACAAACAAATGGGGCTAAGGAAGGAATATTTGATTTAATCTAAAGTTTTTATCGAATACCATTTCACAAAATATAAATAGTTTCTTATTTTGCTGAGCTTATTTACTTGTTAGCATTTATAACCAGGGTTGGATTTCTTTCGGAAAGTGAAAAAAACTGGGGGAAAATGGTAGAAAAGGGAAGAACCTGGAAGAAGTAAAAAAGTAATGTACTCGTGGGAGGGAAGAATTATAATCATAAAAATTTAACTTTTTGAAAATAAGTGTTTTATTATACCTACTATAAAATACAAAGTAATTAAATACTTGCTCACCCTCTCACACCCCCAAAACACACCAGGGAATTGTGTGGTAGAATTCCTCTTTGTTCATTGATGTGATATTCCATTGAATTTTTTTCCCTTTCAAATTATGTTGGCTTAAAAAAAGACCATTTTAATTTAAAATTTTGCAAATGGATTATTTTTACTTTTAATTTTAAGTTTAAATAACAGTTCTCAGGAATGGTAGTTCTTGACAAAAGAAGTTTCACCTGATGTGAAATCAGATCTCATTGCTGTACCTGCACTTTGCTGTCAAAATACTAATCCATTGCCACAGCCTGAATTTATGTGCTGTGTTGCAATAAAAAAGAATCATCAAACAAAATGTGCAGTTAAATTTTATTTATATTATAAGTTATTTTAACTTTCAAATATATTTTATTCTGTGGCCAGAAATAATTTATTTTGGAGTTGCAACTTATAATTTGTTAGTGAAAATTGTAGTTAATGCATCTGCCTGTAGACCTTTTAGCAAAATCAAAATTATCCAGGAAGCTGTGATTTTTTTCTGTGTACTTTATCAATGAGAATAAGTCATAGCATGAATGAAATTTTTAATCTGAAACTTTTTTTTCTTCTACATTTTATATTATTTACAATCTTTCTATTTATACTCTATATAAATGTTTTTGAGTAGTAACAAATAGACTTGCAAAACGTTTGCATTATCAAGCTACAATTTACTTTTTGTTTAAAATATAACATTTATTGAATGTACATGGAGAATTTTGCTGAATTAAAGTTTTTATGTTAGAATTCAATTAATTAAATGGATTAGAGTCATAAGCATGATAAATATTAAATCAGTAGGCATATTTTCTAAAATATTTCATTAGTTAATAAAGGAAACTTTTTCTAGAAATTAAATTATGAGTGCAATTATTATGTTAGCAATTTTTTGTTTATGTGACAGTATTTCATTTAAGATTTATGTGAAGAAACTCATTCTAAGCAATTAATTCTTTGCTTTTATATTTTAGTAGCTTTGCATTTTTAAGAATTGCAAAAATTTAATTTCTTCCCTTGATTATCATACTATAGTGTTGTATATGGTCTGATACTTAAACTTTTAGTCTTACAACCCTATTAAACAAATCTTAAATAGTATGGCAAAGACTTCCAAATGTTTCAAATAACCTTTTTATAACACTGAACTTTTAACATAAAGGGCACGGTTTGTGCTACCAATAACTACTGCTTTGGTGATGTAAAATAAGCAATAACAGATACTGAAATTTTTAAACATTGATCAGCAGCCTCAAACTGCACAGGTAGTAACTAAGCTACAAGCTGGCTCAAATAATTTATTGAATAAAGTAATAATTATCAGCTGTAAGAGAATGCAAAGCCAAGATAATGCCATTTAGACAGAGCTGGCAGAATTCTGCTGGCAGCAACACTATGCAAGTGCCAAAAAACTCTCTCTGACTAAGATCTAGAACCATCAACTTAAATACCATAATTTCGGGTAGATAAGCTGCCCTGGTGTATGCATTGCACACATGATAATTGACGAAAAATATTGAAGTTCAACATATAAGCTGCACCCCCATTTACGCCACAACAAAGCATTCTGAAACATGGCACTTATTCATTTATTCAGTAGTTTATTTCCTTGTTGATGTAATCATCATTTATAACATTTTAAAAAAGTAATATTTAAGCAAATAAAAAATAAACATTTTACCTTAAACTTGCCAATAATGGATTCTGCTGTTTTACAGGTGGGTAAACTTTGCTTATCACCATAAATTACCATGTTATGGAAAATGAATATGTAAAATAGATAATCAAATGGAATTTTATAACTAAAATAAACTACATTTATTTATGCAAAACCTTTAAAATCAGACTCATCTGTATCTGAATTAAATAAATTTAATGAATGACCATCAAAATCACTTTCATCAATCTGTTCTAAATCACTTCGTGCAACCTCACTATTGTCATTTTCATTTTCTTTTTCAATGTTTTCTGACAGCTTTCATTAAACAATTCAGCATTCTTTAAACAGTCCTATCAGCTCGGGCTGATGGTCATGCTTTATGGACCCACAAGGCAACTTCTCAAATGAAGTTTTTCTCATCCGGCTGGAATTTTTGAAAAAATGAAGTCCGCTTCACATCCATTACTCCCACTGCTTTTGTAATTCGTGCTTGAAAATTCTATTGATGGTAAGATCCAGTGGCTGTAAATTTTTTGTAAGCCCACCTGGTATCACTGAGACATTGGTGCTGAGTTTTTTTTACTTCAGATTTTACAGTATCCACTGAATAGGATTACACTGAATCCTGAACGTTGAGTATCCAAGGTTGGAGAAAAGAATCTTTCCTTTTTCGATAAATTTCTTTCATGCAAAGCACTATCACTTTTTCACACATTTATCTTTTTTCATTGGTGTAAATAACAACACCTTTAGAGAAATTTCCTTTTTGAACTGTTTTTCTTTTGAAAATTATCAAAAGAGTTAACTTTGCTTCATTGGCGACACAACTCAAAACACAAGTAAAAAAAGTCTTTTTATTCCTGGCTGTTAAACAGAAATAGTTTTTTTCACCTGCTGAATAAACAATTCTGCTCAGAGGACATTCAAAAGTAATGCACACTACATCTGCATTAATTATTTTTCCTATATTCAATTTTTTTTTCTTTAATTTTCTCAAATATGTACTTCAAAAAAGCTATCTTTTTTGTAAGCTGTCTTCTGTCCAACTGTTGTTTTGTTCCTGATGGACAAGTTCTTTCATTTCATAAATCTGAAATACCTGCTAGTTCTGAATGCTACCAACAAAGTTCTGAATGCCTATTTGTTGAGCAAATACTTTTGCTTGAAGGCTGATTCTAACTGCTCTGCTGTCCATTTCTCTAAATTCTTTTTCAAAACAGGCCAGGTTATGATGCCAGTCTGACAAGATCTTTTATTCTTAGACATTTTCTCTAATTGTTCTTGATTGGATTTCCACCACTGAATGCATCTCTCAACTTGAAATTATCTAGCCACAATGCAATTTCAAATTTCTATCACTCTCTTCACTGTCAAAAGTTTAAAAGCAGCTGTATAGTTTTTTCTTCAGGTGAGAGCCATAATAATAATAATTTTAAGAAATTCAAGAAGCATTACTGATAAAATAAACACTGCAAAAAGTAAGCAATCAGCAAGCCATGAAGCAGAGACGCATGCATAAGAACTTAGGAACATGGCATAGTAAAAGTTCTGTTAAAAAAAAAAAAAAAAAAAAAAAAAAAAAAAAAAGATGGTCATTGGAAAATGCAGACAAAACCACAGAGTTCAGCAGAAAGTACATACATACATTATGGTGTCTTTACACTGAGCGCCATGTACTGTAGTTAGGTGAGTTTCACACAAATTTGCATTTATTGCACTGCCTTATGGCAACCTGAGTGCCCATATCAGGCTAATATGTTGCAGTGAATTCTACATTAACTGTTTCACTTGTGCATAACATACAATGTAAAATAGAAATTTTAAAGCTAGAGGAACAATAAAATTCCTTCATATGTCCCTCCCCAGCAGATATGCCACAGACCTAAATTTTCGACTTCCAATTATTTACAAGTAGTGGCTTATCTACCTGAAGTTATGGTCGTTTTAAAGCTTATTTGCATTCTGGTGAAGAATGCAGAAAGAAATTAAAGCACAGAACAATATCATAATAACCAGTTAGTTTAACATAAAACAATACAAAATATGAATTATAATCGTGAAATTCTCTTCACTTACCAAATTTTGTAACTATAGTTACCAAATTTTGTAACTATTCATCAAATAAAATTGTTTTTATTTAAAATTTGTTGCATTAGGTAATTTCCTTTTAGCCAAGACTAGATTAGATCTGATTAAGCTATAAAAAATATGATTCCAGTTATAAAGTCTGATTAATCTCAGAGGTATTAAGTAAAAAGTAATTATAATTAAAACAGAAATTATGCTGTTATCAAAATAATAATAATGTTAACAGTCTCTCTTCTTTAAATAAAATCTATTATAAAAAATTATATAAGTAAGACTTGATTGATCAAGTAAGTCTAAGTAAGACTTTACTGTACGTAATATTACTATGCGCAACAAATTCAATGCTAAAATAATCCTGCTTTTCCCCAAAACTTTCATTTAAGGCAATCATCCTTTGAACTGAAAACATAAATTTATTTTCTACTTTGATATCAAATTTCTATTCTGCATGTTATCATTTCATTCTTGGAAAAGAGACAGTCAGATTAAGTAAGTTATTTAAGTATTAAGGGGCATGAGATGATAATCTTATTAGTATATATTATAATGCATATGCTTTATCTCTGAAGTTGTAGAATTGCTATTTTTAATGGTCATAGAAGAACCATTTTTCTTTCCTAGCAAAACTGTGGAAAATGTAACATCAAAATATCTCTTGCCCATAAAATGAATAACTGTGCTCCAGTGCCAGGTAACAAAATTGAAATTCATGTGCAGAATAGAATGCTGTTTACAAATGTTTTGAAAGTGTCAGCTTTCGTAATGAAGGAGGTTCAGCTTCACTGATGAGCATTAGTTGTTTTCGGGAAAAGTTTTAGGTACACTAAAAAAAATTTTAAATTGTTTAATTTCAATCATTTGAGTATCTAATATCAGCATGAAAATGGGTCTTCATTGAACATACTAGAGGTAGCTAGAATGCAAATGACAGAATTTATGCATTTAATTTTGTATTTTATTATTCAGTTGTATTTTAATTAATCAGGTTTTGATAATATATGACTTCATTATTTAAAGCGATGCTTTCACATTTTTATTTGCAGATAAATTAACTTTTCAAAATAGTAATTTATATATGAATTTGTATATTTTATTTGACAAGCCATTTCTGAAATCTTAAAGTTTTTATTTTTCATTACAGCTAATTGTGAGTCAAATATTATTGAAATTTTAACATCTCATTTAGAGTTGGAAACATCTGATGATGAATTTTTGAGAAGTCATTCAACTTCATCATCTAATGCATCTACTTATATGCCAACTGCTGAAAAGTATTTCATTTTGTTTAAAGTATTATTATTTCTTTTAAAATTTATTTAGTTCTTACACTTAGTTTTAGTTAAATTTTTTCTTAATTGATGATAGGCCGTGTGTGGGGGAAATGTAGTTCAACTTTTTATATTTTTCTGAAAGATCATAAACATAAAAATGTTATGATGAATATTTAAGAGAGAAATTTCTTGATTCTACTTGCATTTTTAGTTCTAGTTAGTTAGTAAGCGGTATGAGATAATGGTACTGGATAAGCTCATTTAACTATGATAGTTCTAACTAGATGAATTTTAAGATGTGTAGACTTAGTTGCCTTGCTGTACTGTATATAAATGTTAGTTCAATAAAGCCAGGTGGCTAAAGCATTTGAACAATAATTATCCCTGCTGATTCTTAGGAAATTGCCTTTCTGTATTTTTATGGATTTCACTGCATGTAATTTGTGTACAAGCCAGTTTATTTTAAAATGTCTGAAGAAGACATCTGTTCTTTGGCAGATAATATTGCTTATGTGCTTCGATCTAATTTTTTATTTCAAATCTGGAAAGTCTGAGGGCAAAAGCCTAAAGGCAGGATCTAATTAAAGTCAACCAAGCAAACACTTATTATAATTTTTTTTCATTTCATTTTAAATTGTTAAAACTGTTATCTAGTTTAGCTTTTAGTGTTCTATCCAGTTCAAATGCAACTAAAGTGACAAATTATAAGAATTTTATTATCCTTTTTAAAATTTTCCTCCTACTAATTTTGTTTTGTAATAGTTCTTGAATCAATGCTGTACAGACATTCTGATACAGTAAATATAGTCTGAAATGAATAGAATTGAAATGATTCCATCAATAAATATACACATAAACACATTATAGAATAAATACAATCTTTGAAATTTACTGTGCTTATTTACCATATTGACACTCAGGTAAATAAACATAGCAAATTTACCTGAATGACACTTACTTTTAAAAACCTACATCTCAAAATTTTACATTACATTAAAAAAAAAAAAAAAAAAGTGCAATATCTTCTGATAAATTACCAAATCATTGCCACATGTTTTATGCAAATACTATAATAAAACTAAAATGATGTATAACAAAAATTAAACAAATAAAAAAAAAGTTTTTCATATGCAGTTGAGTGACGCTTACAATTAATGAACATGTGCTGCTCCTAAATGTTCTCTGTCTGAGACAGACTGGTGACACTATTTTTCCGCTGTTTCATAACATAGTCCTTTATTCTATGTGAAAAATTTTTATTGGATTTCTTAAGAGAACGATTGATTTCCTTCCAAATTTTACTGATTCAGTTTTAATTAAATTTGTAATTTTGATATTTTCTTTACCCCACCCCTCTCCAAAAATGTTTAGTGGTTGTTGCTGCTTTCATAAATATTTATATATAAGGTATTTGTAACTTATCTCATCAGCTGACTAGACCATATATATATATATATATACTCCCTAGAATATTTTTTCTAAGACCTTTAATTAAATATATATATCTTACTATAAAAATCCAAAGTCTAGTAAAACCTAGCTTTTAATGAAGTGGCTTGGTAAAAGTCCGAAGTGTGCTTTAATATGATTCCATTTTGAACTTTTACCAAGCCTTTGTTGTAAAACCTAGAAGTTACCAATACCAAAAAGAGGGATTACTTATACTAGGATTTTCCGTTCGCAGATACATTGTATACAGTGTGTCCCCAAAAAAGTTAAAATACTTTAACTGTTTAATTGGTAATATAAATTGTAAAAGTGATCAAAATAAGGTATGATTTAAGATTATGTCAATGAAACTTCTTACAATTATTTTTCAAAAAGTTACAAGAAATAAAAATTTAAGAATGCAATATTCATGCCATTTCACAAATAAAATCCCATGTAAAAAACTGAATTAATGCACAATTTTATCGATAACTATTGAAGCGATTTCAATAATTTAAAAAAATAATTTTGGTAATAGTAAAATTTATAGCTCAGAAAAAAATTAATAAGAATTATGAAATTTAAAAAATATGAAAAATGTAATATTTTTTAATACATCTAATACTTCTTATTACCTGTTACAACAAGGTTGACTGTTATGGCATTTTGAGTTATAAAGCAGATCAGCTGATTTGCACAAACACATCTTTGTACTACACTTCTTTAAACAGCTGCATTTTCTGAGTCTTTGTCCCCCAATTAAAGAATGTTTTTTACTACTTCGTGTAAACTTATATCTCCTGTACCAACTTCTTCAAAATTGAAATGTCAGAGCACATTATCTGGTTCCTTATTTTTCAAATTGAACTTCAGCATCTACTTCCATCATTATGCATGATTCTTTTTTACGTGTATTATTATTATTATCTTGCGATTCTGCATCAATGATTCATTTGAGATTAGTGTCTTCATCTTCTGTACTAACCATGCATTCATTATTAGTATTTATATTTTTTCTAAGTTCTGTTCAGTGGCCATGTTACTAATCAAATTACATGGAAAAACTAAGTTAGCAAGCCCCAGCTTCATAGGACAGCCAAACATAGCTTTGTAACATTTGATTCCCTCGGGATATGCTTTGTTTTTCAGTGTTTGAACAAATTTTAATCCTTCCGACCGCTTTTATTTCTTATTTGTTTCCATCCATGTTGCCAAAGTGTTCTCAATGTCTTGGTTCACCCGTGTGACAGAATCTTGTGATTAACTATATCTCTGCTTACCGTGAACTATTTTTATGTCACTACACATTTCACATAAACTGTTTATGATATGGTTGCAAAATTCCTTCCCATTGTCAGAATGGAGAATGTTTGGGGCTCCAAAAGTTGTGAAAATATCCAGAAGGTGGTATGTTACTTCATTAGATCTTAGAATGTGCAGACTTTGGAGTAATGTAAATTTTGTATCATGATCATTATACACTAAAATGAATTTTATATCACGAACAGGATTGGAATGCATATCTATTATATCTGCATATCTATCAACTTGCCATCAAGAATTCATTTTACTATGAAGAACTGGTTTGATTACAATTCTCTTTTTCACAGTATTTTCTTCTTTCTGACATGGTTCACATAATCTCAAATACGTGATGATAGATTCTGCTGTTACATTCTTGTGCTTGTGATTCAGTTCCTTAATCAAATGGGTTCTTCCACCTTGACCAACTCTGATATGAGTATCATGTATGATACTGAAGACTTCATCAATTGTAGTATAATACAGGATTTCTGCTTTTTCTGCAGATACTGATGCTATAAGTTTGTCCTCTCTTTCAATATTTAGAATATTATAGCATTTCAACCTTCTGTAATGAACTGATAGTTTTTGCTTCCTTCACTTCATTTATTAAAGAAGTGTATTTCTCATTTGTTAAATATTGTTGCTTATGCTCACTTGTCTGGCGTAGTCAGCCCAAGCCCACAAGATTCCTTGTAGCAAGGAACACTAGATTATGCCTGTCGTCGGCAGCAGCCTTGAGCACCTAACCAGTGACAGTGCGCTTTGGCTGTTTCGCCCCCAATTTTGATGGAGAGCACCCTGGAGAGATAGGTCCTAGGATCTCCCACTCCTCTCCCCTTCCACCAAACCACACGAGAGGACTTTTGGCTCGCTGCATATTTAAAGTGCCGCCATGTCGCACCAACGCTATACATTTATGAACATCCGTTCCTTCTCTGGGATTTGAAGCCGAGCCCTTCGGCACGGCAGTCAGCAATGCTAACCACTATACCGGTTGGGCTGCTCATTTGTTAAATAAAAGCTGTGTGCTTCTTTCACTTCATTTATTAAGGAAGTATATTCCTCATTTGTTAAATAAAAGCTGCTATCGTATACCGGTTGGGCGGCTCATTTGTTAAATAAAAGCTGTTATCGTGCTTCTTTCACTTAATCTAATAAGGAAGTATATTCCCTATTTGTTAAATAATAGCTGTTACCTTGCTTATTTTTTACAAATTCAGACAAAATGTCGTAAAACTTTTTCCACATAACATCGCTTATTTCCTTTCAGCAAAATAAAAAATGCATAATAATATGATGAAATGGAAACAAACTGCTTCTATTTCAGATCGTAGCCGCTTACACTTGTTTGAATTTGTTTGGAGCTAGACTCCATATGGCACAAATAAGAAGAAGCAGGAACAGAAAATTGTTGTGTCGGAATTTGTGTGGTTCAGGTTTATTCAGATTTAAATTCCTCATCTCGAGCGTTTACCGGAAGGTGTTGATGATTCCTAGGTTTTACTGCAAAGGCTTGATTAAAGTCCGAAATGGAATCATATTAACGCCTACTTCGGACTTTTACCAAGTCACTTAAACCTAGGTTTTACCAGTGAAAACCTAAGATTTACCAGACTTTGGGCTTTGTAACATATATATCTGTCTTGAAATATGTTTAAGAAAATAAGGCAGTTTGGTGTTATAATAAAGAAAAAGCCTCATTTTAATGGCAATTTCAGGAAATTCTGGGTTTTCGAGGTAAATTCTTGGCCACTTAGAGGATTAAGAGCAACTGCAGTGCATTCTACCCATCATCACTGTTATTGTTTCTTTTGTATCCATGGTAATTTATTAAAAACAGCTATAACATTTTTGAATTTAGGCCCTTAAACTAATAAATCTGTATCATTATGCATAATTCATTCATACACACAGTGATGTAAATATGTTATATAATAATGTTTGAAAATAAAATAATGCTGCATATTTTGTGTCATTGGTGCATAATTAAGAAAATAATATTTAAAAAATAGCAGAATAGTAGAGTTAATGTATAATAATAGATGTTTAGTAATAAATAACCCCTAACTCCAAAAAAGATTTGTAAAGTATGTGGAAGAAGTAATGTTTAAAAGGTTTTTTTCTTTGGAAATAAGAAATTTTAATGTTTTTCTTTTAAAATGAAGGTTGAAATGGCTTGAAAAATCCAACACATTCTAACTTAATATAGATGTCCCCTAAAAAGTCAGTAACTTCATTAAATTTTACCCAACTTTGTGACTTTTACT